GACTTTGTATCTAAATGCTTGGTATGTCAGCAGATCAAGGCAGAGCATCAACGCCCAAGCAGGTTACTTGAGCCCTTACCGATCCCAGAGTGGAAGTGGGAACATATCACCATGGACTTCATAACGGGATTACCCAAGGCACGTTCAAGACATGACGCCATCTGGGTAATTGTTGACCGTCTTACCAAGTCTTCCCACTTCCTAGCCATCAGGATGACCGATCCCTTGAACAAGTTGGCAAGAATGTATATCCGAAAAATAGTCAGATTGCATGGAGTTCTAGTGACAGTGGTATCCGACAGGGACTCTAGGTTCACTTCTCGATTTTGGAGTAGCTTTCAGCAGGCTATGGGAACAAAGTTGTCTCTCAATACTGCTTTCCATCCTCAAACTGATGGACAGTCAGAAAGAACAATCTGTACACTTGAGGATATGCTTCGAGCTTGCATCCTTGACTCTGGGGGCCATTGGGATGACCATCTACCCCTGATAGAACTTACCTACAACAACAGCTACCAAGCGAGCATTGGCATGGCTCCGTATGAGGTGTTATATGGGCGCCCATGTAGATCACTAATTTGTTGGGAAGAAGTGGGCGACAGAAAATTGTTCGGCCCGGAGTTGGTGGAGGAGACCACATCTAAAATAGTTAAAATCAGAAAGAACATTCAAACGGCTCAAAGCAAGCAGAAGAGTTATGCGGACACCCAGATGAGAGATTTAGCGTTCGAACAAGGCAACCGGGTGTTCCTTAAGGTCACTCCTTTCAAATGAATTAATAGATTCGGCATGAGGAAAAAACTGAACTCCCGATTTATTGGGCTATATGAAGTCTTAGACAGGATTGGTATTGCCGCCTACAGACTAGCACTACCTCCAGAGCTCTCCAAGGTCCACAATGTGTTCCATGTATCCATGCTACGTAAGTACAACCTAGACCCCTCTCATGTCTTGGCTCACGAACCGTTTCCATTGCAATAGGACTTATTTTATGAGGAAGTACTTGTCGGTATCACGGACCGGAAGAGCAGAATACTCCGCAACCGGGAAATATCATTTGTAAAGGTAGTGTGGCAGAACCACTCGCCAATGGAGACTACCTGGGAGCTAGAATCAGACTTTAGAGCCCAGTATCCCCATTTGTTCGACCAAGAGTAAGAGACAAATGTGAGAGACCAAATTTTTTTTAAGGGCAGGAGAGTAGTAATACCCAAAAATTTTTCTTTTATTTTATTTTAATTTTATTAGAATTTTGTCTAATTTTTTTTTATTTTAATAATTAAATTATAAGGTTTTAATTTAATTTAATAGAAATAAAAATAAAAATATAATAAAATGGATAAATTATTTTTGGGATTTATTAAATTAATTTGGAAAAA